AGACGCCCCTCACCCCCATGGAGGAGAGTCGTACGACGGTGCCTGTAAATGATATTGTGTATTACAGCGCAGCTCTAGTCGAAATAGGTGGGGGAAGGCAGAGAGACATAGGCGCACATGCCGAGGCTTTTTTTTGGGTTTCTTTCTTTTCTTTTTTTTAAGCTCCAAAATTTTGTTTTGTTTTTATTTAAGTCCCTTTACTGCCTCGAGCCCTGTGTTTCTTACATACATGACCACCGGCTCAATAAAACCCGCGAGATTTCTTACCGTACCTTTTGTTTTCTTTTGATTTGGCTTCCAACTTCCAACCCCACCCTATACTTCTCTCTTGGGGTGGGGTGGGGGCAGCCCCTGCAGTTGGGACATCTTTTATGCAAAGTCTAGCTAGTTGTAGGAACATCCTCTCTGTTTTTCTAGCATCACACGTGTCAGAATCTTAATTGTCTTAAAAAAAAAAACTTGTCTATTGTCTGAGAAGGTCTGAAGTATGTATGTGAGGTCAGTTTCTATATAGGCCTCTGCCCTCTAGAAAGGCCCTACAATCCTAAAATATGGGCCACTGTCACTGCTTCTACTGGGCTTGACTTTTAATTTTACAGTCTGTTGGATTCATACATTGAGAAAATTTTCTAAAAATCGGGAACATTTTTGCTAATCCTTTGTATGATCTCTCACTTTGACTCTTTAACCCTTTTTTTTTTCTTTTTTTTAATCTTAATCAAATTAGGCATCCCTTTTGACTCTAAAGATAGAATTTTTTGTTTTTTTTGGAAAATAGACAATGGAACTCTAAAGATAGAAATTGTGATTGGAGAAGAGGGTTATCTCACATAGGTTTGAAGTTACTAATAATAGGATAATAAGAGAATATATATATTGTCTCTTGGTTGTTGGTTCTGTGTTGGCTTTGGGTCCAAAAGTGAGTGACAACATTTTCCATCCTGGTTTAATTGTCTGTTTAGTAGGAGTAAAGAAATTCTGGACTTGTAAGGTAGAATGGTCCCCTCCTAAAATTAGTAGAGAGTAGAGAGAATAGGCTGTCTTTCATTATGGCATGCCTTTTTAATAGTTGATGATGGTGATTGGCAAACTTGGGGGAAAAAAAGAAGGGCCCTACACTACAAGCCAAGGATTTCAAAAAAGACAAACACTTTCTGAAGAAACTAGTTCTAGGTCCCCTTTTTTCTTCTGTTTGATCATGAATGAACCCTTAGATCAGCTTCTTACCTTTTTTTATTACTATTATCTACTCTGTTGTCTCTTTTGTGACAAACATTTGGAAATCTAGTGAATTTCCAGTCCAAGAAGTTTGGATGCATATTTTATATATTTATTTATTTTTTCTCTACTCAAAAAAATTGTTGAGATAAGGGGAGTGCATGGAATAGATTTTAAAACTTTTATATCTAGATATGTTTGCACAAAGAGATGGTCATTAACTTACATAGTATCAAATTATCATTATTATTATTATTATTATCTGTTAATGGGTCCATCACATGAAGATTGGACAACAGCCCATTGCCTGTCAGATTTCAGACCCTGTAGAGCATGATGGGCTACAGAATTTGGTTTTTTCGGCCTGAATAAACCCACACCATTTGGATACCAAATTTGAGAATGATGTTTAAAAATAAAATAAAATATCACCTTGTTAAATAATTAAATTTTTTTATTTTAAAACTTACTAGTTATATCATATGCAAACATCAGTGTGGGTCTTGTATACCCGCCACAGGCAGTCACCTTCAATTTTCTTTTAACACACTCGAATTTTTATTTTAATTTATATAATTAAAGAGAGTTTTTTTTTTTCTATTAATATAAGTGTTTTAATAGTAATATCTCTTAGAAAGTGGTATAAGAGATCTTAAATATTTAAATTGTAAGTAAGTAGATAGAGATCTTAAATATTTAAATTGTAAGTAAGTAGATAGAGATGATTGTTTTTTATTACACAATTTAATTTTTTTAAAAAAAAATTTATTTTATGTCATGTACTTTAGCATAAAACCTTTTAAAAAATTGTCATTTTGTTAAATAAAAACTTTAATTAGTTTTTTTGGGCACATGATAAAACTACATATCTTTTTAAGTATGCAAAACTTAGAGATTAAATCCCAAACTTATAATTAAGAATATAATTAAGTAACTCTACCATTAAATTTCGTGGTTGACGATAAAATTATAAAAAAAAATGTATATTAATTTTAATTCTATATATCTCTAATTCAAGAAATATCATTCAATGAATATTTTAAAAAATCAGTTATTTCAATCAAATAATTTATTTATATAAATTATACATGTCAATTTTAATATTCAATTATATTATAATTTCAATGAATTTTTTTTTGTTTTATGTTAGTTACACAATAAAAAGCAATAATCTCTTATCTCTTATTGTACTCTACAATATACCATACGACTCGAATTCAAAATTTCTTATTTTCAACAAAATTCAAAATTTCTTATTTTCAACAAAAAAAAGATAATCACTTAATTATTTAAATCGTCGACGATTTCAATGGATATTATATATATGTTTTTATACAAATTCTAAGAGTAACAACTAGACATATAACAAATTCTAGTGCATGGCTCGTGTGGCTCATATTACTGGAGTTCAAACCCTTGCTTCCTTTCCCTTCCCTTCTCCCAATTTCCCTAGTAGTAAGAAAAAAAAAAAAACTAGGCGTATAACATTGAAGAAGCATCAAAATTCATAAATTAATAATAGCATTAATTACTAATTAATACTAATTAATCATCAATTTAGTGGTACCCAGCCTCCTTCTGTTTCGACTCCAACCCTAAGAACCTGCAAGGCGAAAACCTAATTTTATGCTCTGAAATGGTCTCCAGTTTGGGAGACCAAACTTGCTCTTTAGACCCTACCAATTGCTCGTAATGCTTCCTCAACTCCGGCGTACTACAAAGAAAACCATCGCCACCGGAATTGCTGCCTTCTTCTTCATTTCCTCTACTTATAAGCCTTGTTATAAACTCCGGCACCACCTTCATCATAACCCTACCGTTCTCCCCTTTAATGTACTCAAAAGGGCAGTCACCGAAGTTTATAGGGGCAGGCTTAGGGCTGGAGCTGAAGGAGACAAGAGAAGACGCCGTCAAGACATTGCATGCAAAGCGGTCGATAGGAAGGACGAAGTAAGTTTGGCCCGGCATGAGTTCATCGTCTATGGCTAGGGCTGGGATGGCGTGTCCGATGAAGAACGAGTCTGCATGACATACCATTCTGTCGGGGAACTCAGACATGATCTCTCCGGCGATGTGTCTTCCCGTTAGAATCCTCGTTGGTCCTTCCCAGAAGATGAGCTTGATCGATGAAGAAGATCTTGAATTGTGTCCAACACATGGAGAAACAATATTTCCCATTTCGATTATTGGTTATGGAAGAAATAAAGAAATTAGTTACACACACATTCATATATATATATAAAGGGGTGGAGAGATTGACTTGGATGCAGTCGTATAGCTTGGTTTGTTTTTTTTTTTTCTTGTAGTTTTGGATTGGTCGGTGGTCAGCGATGGCGGCTTTGAAACAGATCTCTCATGTCCGTCACAAAAATCAAGTTGCATGTGATGTCTCTCATTTAAACTTGAAGCAATCCAAATGTCATTTTTTCTACTTGAATATTAATTAACCACAAATTGGGCCCAAAAACACTTTTTGGATGGCCAAACATGTGAATTATCTTTTAAAATTATCGTGTAAAAATAAATTATTGTTTAACAAATATTGATATAATAATTATACTAAATTTTTATTTTTAAAAAATAAATTTA